TTTAGCATTTTAATTAGCATTAGACTATTTGCGTCATATTGTTAGCGTGCTGAAAAGAAGATCGTAAATCTACGAAGTCATTTTCAATATTGATTTTAAATTTGCGATATTCAGGGCAGGAATACACACACACAAACACAATGCACAGACAAACACACATACACACACACACACACACACACACGCACAGACAAGCAGCGATGAATGTTCGCATTATGTAGGTATCAATATTTTTAATTGTGTTCATTTTTTTGGTACTTTATTCATATCGTATGATGGAGTTTTTCGTATTTTGTGGGCTTTTTTGTATGACATGTTTCGGCTGTCCCACAACGTTTGAAGATTTGGTTAATATACTAATTGACATGAAGAAGATCGGACTGAATCCATTCCATATATGTGATAATATATTTAGGATGTAGTATCAAGTGATTGTTATTTTCACTTTTACTGAAAGTGGTATATTAAAGGCAATTCAATGAATTTTAATAATCCTGAAAGATTATGTCGTCATTTATTGGTTTCTCAAAATAAAAATGGATTAATATGTAGTGTCGGAATTGAGTCGATAGAAATGTGGAAAGCACAGATATGCGTCACAACAAGAGTTGTCCGTTACTGATAAATGCAGCGATGAGTTTTGCAAGATTCAGCTTCCTGTATCTTGATTTATAAGTGTTGTCTTTATGTTTTTGTACGAATTATGCACTTTGAGCCCTTCATATATAGTTTTAACAAACGGTGCAATAAGTATTTTCGAACGAATAGAAGCAGTAACTCACATGAGTTATGGTTTTTTATTTTTCCTGTAGAATAGATAGTGAAGAATCTGGAAGCTATTTGTTTATATAGTTTTATGATTTCAGATGGATCATCGGAATGAAGGAATGGAAACAGGCAGATTTGCGACGATTCGGCAACAAGTTGAAAATGTAAGAGAGGTTAGTTTGCTCTATATTTTGAAGTTCCGTAAGTTTCACCTATGCAGAATGATTTGTTATAGACTTCGCTATGGAACATGTGGAAGGAGTTGCAAGTTCTACAACTTCGTCACTTATCCATTATCATGAACGTCTTTGATTGTTTTTCCGGACTTCCTGCAACGGTTATCTTGTTTTCAGAATGTTTGTCATTTCAGGTGATGAACAATAACATGCAAAGGGTGTTAGAAAGAGGCGAACAACTGGAGAATATTGAAGGTAGGACGGAAGCGCTCACTCAGTCGGTATGTCTTTTCGTTAGTTTGAAATTTGCATGAAAAATAGTGTCTGGTTAGGAATTATCGTTCCAATTATTAGTGTTGAAGGAGTTTGAAAAAATTCGTGAAAATTCAAAAAATTTTTAGGAATATGTAAAAATTTTTTAGTATTTTGGAGCACTTTAGAGTTTCGCATGTTACTGTCATGGAAGTCTTGTATGCATCAACCGACCTTTAAGACTATTTAAAGTTTAAGAATTTTCTTTTTTGCAGTCGCAAAACTTCCAGTGGACAGCACGACGCGTTCAGCGTCGAAGGTGTGTGAAGAATGCAAAGTGGACTATTATCGTTGCTTCTTGTTTAATAGTTGTAGTCGCTACTATCATACTTATTATGCTGAAGAACTCTGGCGTTTTCTTTCACTCTTGATCGTGGTTTTTATCGAGAGCTTGGATGAATGATAATTAAAATGTGTACTGCTTATACCAGAAAATGAACTTATTGATGTTTTTCATTACCTGAAATTCTCCGATAGGATTTTTTTTTCCTTACATTTATATAAGGGCATTTATTAGTATTAATAGTCGTTAAATACGGTAACCGTTTATTTTTTAGTAACGAGCTTATTTGCAACAAGTTTTACATTTTTCTCATTGGTCGTCATCGCATCACTATAAAGCATTGTCTGAAATTGACACATGACACTGGAAACTTATACCTAGTGGTACTATACAATTAGTAATTGTGACCAGCATATTTCTTGATTTCTGAAAATCATTATCGCACGCAACGTTTTCCGCACTACGTTATGTCGTGTGAAGTTAATATTTGTTATTTAAAGTTCATTTCATGTCATACTTCGTTAATATTCACCGATCTACCCACATTTATTTTGTTTCAGTTTTATTTCAAGGCTGTACTTTACTTCTGTCATTTTGTACTGAATATAGATTACATCGTCCTGGTTTTTAATTCAAATGTCGCAGAGTATTTGTGTTCTGTGTCGTGCACAGTCTAGGCCAAACTTTTATCCAAGTAAGAAATTTGAATTTTAACTGGACAAGTTACAAGTTAAATTACATATGAATAATTCTGACCGAAAGGCGCCTTAAAAATGAAGTTAATCCAATCAAAATCACATCAAACTTCAGGATTTTTTCTACATGCTGATTTTTGAATCGTTTTCAATAGGTATAAATTCAGAAGCGGTAACAAACGCTAAAAACAATTCCGTTTCAACTACTTTTCATCCTTTAATCAGAACCGTTACAGAAGCACGTGTCATTTTTACATGACAATTGTATTTTTGGAGACTTAAGACCGCATTTTACTTTTGATAAGGATGCAAGAGAAATCACCACATATTTTTACACCATTGTAACAACATAATCGTTTATACCTTTACATTTCCTTTTTTTTTACAGATCCTATAATGCCATCTGTTCTCTCACACTCATATACGGTCCAAAAATTTAAAGACTGTATTATGTTCATATTCACAACCATGGCAAATGTAGAGACTTACAGGATGTACAAATAGCTCATGTGTAGATAGATGTGCAAATGTGCAAATGCAAACAAATGTGGAGACTTGGAGACCAATATGCAAACAACTCACTAATGACTGCTTTATCAAGAAGTAGCCCATCCGAATAGATATTTATGAGTTGGTATATAACGCGTTCACTGTATTATGCACACGCAGTACATTTCTACTAGTTTCCTATTATATAATTGTTTTTTTATGAGGCCATTTTACTTAGATAAGGACATAGGAAAAATCACGGCAAATTTATACATCAGTGTAACAACACAGTCGTTTATACCTTTATACGTGTTCCTTGCAATCGTTTGCGTGGTAGGAAGTAGAATAATCGATCATCTAAAATTAATCAGCTTTTTACTGATTAGTTTCGCCATGCAAAGAGGATGGTTGAAAGCTTATCCTTCTCACGCTCATACATCAAAAAAACTGTGCTTTCGCTTAAATTTCATTCTTCTGTCATTCTCTAGTTTTCTTATCATGTTTATTTAAGATGTGTTGTTTATTTAATTGTTATTTCGTGGTTATAGTTGTATTTAAGTGTTTTTCTGTTAAAATTGCTACAATTAATTTTTAGAAAAGATTTTCAACCTCCGATTTTTCTTATTTCGTTGAATTTCTGTGGGATATTCACATCTGAGTCTTAAAAATTTTAAATGTTGGAGTTCTTCCAATTTTGATCTCTTCGAAATATTTTAAGGGGATTTGCACACGAATATAGGTTTTTTGAATGAATCCGTCCGCTTCTGTAGTCCATCTTTGTTTAATAGTTGTTAGATCCAGCCATCACGTGCTTTGCATCATTTGGTTCTTTTCTGTCCATCTTAGGTACATATTCTTTGTTATTTCATATTTTAGTTCGTTGCTATTTGCGCTGTGTTTCCAGTCAATATGTTTTTTCTCAAAAAAGAAATGTTTGCAGGTGAAGCGATAGAAAAAAAGTACGGTGACTACATTGCGATGATAAGATTAACTTATAAGAGTTAAATATGGCTGTTATTGTGCTAGAAACGGTCTTATATCGATTTGTTCTTCCGACAGCTTTACTTATTGGTTTGTTTTAAAATTATAATACAACGTCGATGTAATTTGATTTTGAAGCATAAAGTTAAATAATTGAATGGTTTCATTTATTTATTTATTTTTAACAATTAAATCATTTCGAATGACATGAATTACTGGTAATTAGTTAATTTTTTTTTGTGTTATTTACAGGTGCATTAATTCGGCCAAGCTTCATTTCCATTGCTTACGTTATTTTTGCCTTAATTGGTCCACTTCTGGGTTCAATAGTATCATCGGCGCCAATTCAACGGACTCTTCGTGTTTATTTCATCTCCGTTGTGCTAACAGCGTTCCTGACTTCCATTGCTCAGTTGAGCTATCAGATTTATGAATCGTTTTTCCAACCGAATGTCGATGAATACACGAGAACATGCAATACATCAGTTTTGAACTTTTGGTTGCGACAAATTGGATTAATAAGGTATATATTGATTAGTTAATTAACCAGATAATGCTGCTTGGGCTAAATCTCATTTGGTATTCCATTATTCTATTGGTATATGTTTTGACGCAAAAATATCATTCTTTACTCATAATAACACTGGGTAGTGGTTCTGAAGAGGTGTCATCATAAACTTATGTAATAAACATTAGGTATCTTAACAACTTGATGCAATAAAAGATGTTGTAACAGATCTTGCTCGTTATGTGGACATATAAATTTTACTGTCTGATCAGAATCAAACTAATTATGCATATACAGTATTTTTTTTATGTTGGCTGAACTGTATCTGTGTGATTTAAAGGAGTAAATTTGAGTAAATTTGAAGTGACACTTCGCAACTTTTCAGAATCAAACGTTATTCTGGCTTCGACACAATACGTGTAGTTTTCCCTGAATTACTGGCACTTGCAGCGTCTCTTGCGACTACTATTTGTTGCCTTCTTATTCATCGGAGTGATAGTCCCAGAAGCAGTCATAGTACCACTAACGTGCTACCAGTACGAGGAAATTCAGGGTAATACTTTGCTGTACTTCTTCACATCATTTTTGATTATTTATCTCACATTGCCAAGGTCGCAGTAAGTGTTAGATTTTTCTTTATTCCAGTATTATTGAATCTGGGAAAGGAAGCATCACTGAAGCAATGATTTTGTATCTGAAAAAGCTTTCGGACGTTGCAGCGGTCTTGGCTGTTGGTTTAATCAGCATCTTTCAGGTAACTGAAGTGCACAAAAGATTGGTAATTTAATTTTAATTTTGAATCCTAGTCAGATTCAAATTTGAATGAAGTGAAAACCTGAATTTCTGTTCGAAATTAGAAGGAAATTATTCCTTTTAATATTCTTTATGGAAATTGACTAGTTATTTTTCAGCCATGTCTTCTCAGCCTCGTATATTTCGTTACATTCCTCTTTGTTGCAACATGGTGGGCATTATACAAACCTTTTCAACGACATATTTTCAATACTCTAAAACGTGTAGTCATTAGCTATTGTGCACTGCATTTCCTATTGCTTTATATGTATCAAATACCATTCTTTCAAACCATCATACCTGGACAATCATTCTTTGCTCGGTATGACTTTTATATGATTCCTGTCAAACCAAGTTTATTCTTTCGGCTATATAAATTCCGTCTTCTGTGGTGACAATTTATTTATTGATTACCCGCTCGTGTAGGTAAAAAAATCTCAAAATCTCAATGTACGGGGACAAATCACAAATTGAATATAAATGATGATTATTGCCTCAAAGTATATTTTCCTTCAATGAACATCAGAGATTAGCTAAAACATAAATATTAATTTACCTCAAAGCTTTTGACTATGCTTGAGTACACTTTCAGATTTAAAGGTTTTAACTGCTATTTATTACAGTTTGGTTGGTTTCGTCCCTGTTTTATACACGGATTGCAATGCATGGTGGTCATTGAATGTTATTTCTCTTGACTACTGGACAGCATTTGCCAATATAATAGCTCTACTGATTTTATATCACCTTTTGATTATGCAGTATAGTTTTACAAGATATGGAATTCATCGTGTTTATGAAGCTTGTGAAAGCACTGGAAGTAGCATACATGAGGAGGTAAGAGCTCTTTTTAGCTTCTCTATCTATTCATAATTTTCTCAGCAGTGCTCAGCTATTTGTTTCTTTTTTTAATTTTTCGAACTTTTTGCTGATTTTTGCGTTGATTTTTTTTTTGTTTTTTTCGACTATTTTTTCGCTAGTTGGGTGTCACTTTTTTGTAATTGTGAAATATATTTGTATTCATTTTTGTCATGTTTGATGATGCTGCTTATTCTCTTTGTTTATATTTGGAGATCAGTGATAAACGTTGTTAGGCTATGGAAGAGTTTGAATTTGAGAGTTTATGATAGCTATTGTGTTATGCATACTTCCGATATGCCTTGAAGCGTCACATATTTTCGAATCACTATGTAGAACGTGATATAGATCATTTCAAGGGCAGATGATGATGTGGATAATGGACCAAGATGCAGTTTGATGCTGCGGAGGAAAAGTGTGATAACTCAATAACCCATGATATATAACTAATTGTTTCAAAAGTGTAATTTTCACTCAGATATGCTTGTTTTCGTTTGAGCTTCTTCGATCTATTTTTGATTTATACATTCTTTCTTTTCAATATGCATATTGCTTGTTGGATTTGATTTCTTTGATCATTTGCAACGTTTCTGTGTGAACTGGATCTTTTCCAGCTTCCATTCTGTCAAATTATGTTTTGTATTTCAAATCTAAATTTCTGTTTACATTAACCAAACAAAGTAGTTTTTCTATTGCAGCTCCTTGCAAATGATGCCAATTCTCACAGTTTGGGAAATCTGTCACTACATCAAACTAATCCTTTTTATCCTGATCACCAGGAGATGGCTACCGTTTTTGTCGGTAATTTGTTATGTTTTATTTTCAAATTTGCTTCATTTTAGTTTTATTCAAATTACACTTCACCTAAAAAAAAGTAAGTAAATCTCCGCAATCAAAAGTTCTTCCTTAATCAATACTTGATTCAAACTTCCCAATCAAATTCAAGTCAAATTTTCCAGGACAAGGAGAGCGTAAGACAATGATATCTTCAGCATTCACTGTTGCACTAAGTTTTATTTCCCATCATCTCCATATTTTTGCCTTAATAGCTATGACGGTAATATTTGATCCTCACTCTTTTTTCTATGGCAAGAAGTCATGATTATCTTCAAGTATTTAATTTTTTAATTGGTATTATTAGGTTTGTCTCCAAGTATGTTTCAAATTCGTTTTAATATGAATTCGATTATTATTTGATCATGCCGACGCTGAAAGCCTGTTTATCGGATATAATCGAAATAGCGGTCAGATAGCTTTTTAGTGCAGTCCTTAATTGAAAAATTATGAGAAACTACCTTGCGCATAGTCTGGGAAATCTAGTCACCAATCAGAGTAATCATTTTATAATGGCAGTATCTAAATTATTTTTCCAGTTTTGGGCTTTTCTCTATCACTCAGTATTTGGTCTTGTATTTATAGTAGAAATTTGTATTATTTTGGTTTTCAAGAGCACACGTGTTATGGCATTTCAAGCATCACCATCACTCGTTGCATATGTTGAAGTTTGTGTTTTTTTGTGATAGGGTTTAAATAATTTTGTTACCGTTAACATTACATCAGGATTTGTTTGTTTTAAATAGAGCCCAAGAGCTGTCATTTTAAGCGCATCACTATAACTTTATGAATAGTTAAGTTTCGACAATGGAAAATTCAATATGGTTTAAACATTTCATTCATCTGTTTCTAAATATTTAATATATGTCTTGATTTTAGTTCCTACTCGTTGCACAGTATGTATGCAGCATGGATGTCAAACATGAATTGCCTCAATCAAGCTATTTGGAACTTGCTGGTTTCATTTTTGCATCAAATCGAACTGCAGCATTCATTGCTCTTCTCACGAAGGTTTGCTGTTTACTTGTTTGAGGATAGGGTGTTTGTATTCCTTTGAAAAACATCAAAAAGTTGATTTCCTGCATATTCTGTTTAAAGGACATCAACAAAATGATGAAATAAATTAGTATGTGATTGATTGCGTCTGGCGACACGCAGGAGGGTGGAGCAATGTTGACTCATTAAACCAATGGAAGGAATTCATTGCATGCATTCCTGCATGGTAAATACAAAAATCAATACATAAAGAAATGAAGATATTTGTAACGAAGAAGTTCCGCAGAAGGACATGGGAAAGAAAGTGGAAGAAGTCGCTTCGATTGAAATAGCGGAGGGAAGGCTGTCCAGCATGATCCAATTGTTTTTTGATTTACTGATGTTTTTTGTACTTTAGCTGAAGCATAGAAGCTGACTTTTCAATGCACTAGAATTTGTAGTCGATTTTTTTAGATTATCCAGACAACTTACTTTTATAAGAAAACTAGTGAGGTCTAGTATCGGTCAAAATGGTTCAAAATTCTACATTTTTATAATCAGACATTGATTAATATATTGCAAATTTGGAAAATTTTTGAACTTGTTTTGGCTTATGCTTCAAGAGTCTTCCGAAACACTTATTTTGTTCATATAATTTTAACTTCTACAATCGCTTTTACGTCAACCCGACTGCCGATGTTATCGTTTTATGAATAATGCTTGAAGCCCATGATAATTAAATGTACTATAGTACTGCGAGCTAGTTCTTGTGGCACATTTTTTTTTATCTTGACTCACAAAAAAAATCGAAACTATGTAAATCAAATCTTATAATATCATATCGTTAGGTTTTAACAGTTTTAAATAGTTATGGATTTCGAAGCTTAAAGTTACCGTTTTATAAGTTTCCTTTCCTTCGGTTTTTTTTTTTTAAATGTATATTTTTCCCGTTTTCGCTATTCGTAGACATCTTGCAATAGTTTTTTACTTCCAGGGTTTATTAAGCCTACCGCTATTTGCACTACTTCATTTCCATCGTAAGAAATACAACTGTTCAGCCGAAGCTGATGAACGAGAGCAAATACATGGTATTTATCCAACACCCGGTCCTATCAGCATAACTGGTAATGAGTCAGTGTCATCTCAAGTAAGTTTAGATGATTGATTTGCTTGTACCTTAACTGTCATCATTTGTGGATCACATATCCTTATATAATTAGTAACTTTTTTAACTAATATGGATATGTATTTGAGAGATTTTGGTGATAAGTGTGAGACAAATAGTTTTAATAGGCATTTCTAGATTATCTTATCTTATAATTTATTATCGTATAACTTAGTCCTTTTCGCAACAGTGTGATGTATCTCATTACATTTTTACTGGTTTTTAACTCTCTGTATCTTTTACACTTTGGTTTTTTATATTTAATACGTCTATCCGTTTATCTCCTGATTTCAAGAAAAATTTGTACTAAGGCCTCTTTGGGAGTAGTTTTGCAATTTTGTAATCTCATTTACGAATTTAAAAATGAGTTCATTAAACTCGACAATTTGATAAATCTTTTGTTTGCGAAGGATAATTGGTTTGATTGTTTGTTGATTTGTTGCAGAGCGTATCAGCGGGTGTTAGAGTCGTTGCGAAATATTGGATTTTTGTTGTCAGTTTTGTTTTACTCACTATTTCAATCCATTCACCACCAGTTCTGTATACTGTTGGTTTTTTCATATCATTCGGTGTGCTAATTTTCCTGCTACTGGTATGTTTCACTCTCTCTTTTTTAACAATTGGGGTTTTGACGTCATTAATTCAAAATTTGTTTTCTTCATATTCAAAGTTCTTATTTTTTCAATTCAAAAAGTAAATATTAACACTGTTCACTTTCGATTAATCTCTTTGTTAAGAAAGAAATTCTCTTTCAGTTGAAGGATCAGGAGGAATATATTCAGTGCTTAGTAAGGAAGATGAACACGACATGTTCGCGTTCTCAAACGTCTTTTCGTAGTTATCAACATTTTGAGATAGATTACTGCAGTGTAAACTAAGCATTAGTTACGTAATTGAAAATGCACATTTGAAACTTGGTTTATAGTTTCCTGAAAAGATAAAAATGATAAAACTAAGGTTTTTAAGCGGAACAAAGCAATAATTTACATACTTCAAAGTCATGTTTTGTTTTGCACATAGAATAAATACATGCATGAATGAAAATATGAAAATGGTGATGTGTCATATGATATCATTGTTTAATATGTAGTTTACTGCTGGTAGAGTTTTTCAAAATTTAAATATTCAGTACTTAATAATCAAATCTGAAATATCTTATGTTAATTTAATTTTGCAGATGGAAAACAAAGTTTAATGATTCGTGATGCATTTAGTTCAATTTTTCGTTTTTCTGGGAAACAAATCTTGAGGAAATTTTCTTATGCTCATTGGATTTGGATTACTTAGAAAATAGTCAGTTGAATCTACTTTGACATAAAATGCGTGAATCTCTTTTTCAGTCTTCTTTTGACTGTCTACGGCACTTTTTATATAATTATTTTACTTTCCTGGCGATATACTCATCAGTTGTGGTAATAGTCCTATATTGTTATCAGTTCCCAACAATACCGTCGATCTGGCAAAAAGCAACAAGACTTAGTGATGATTGGAATCACGATATAGGCTTAGTCAATTACAGACAAGAAGGAGATAGAGGGTAAGAATTTTCTTGCACTTGATTCAAATTTCATATTCAAATTTTCTCTTTTGAAATTTGATCTTGAACCTGAAATTAGTCTAGTTAATTCCTTTGTTCGCTTAATTTGATCATTCTTGTATCATTTAACTGTTCGTGGTTTTACTGGTGTTTGTATACAACGGCATTCAAATACTCATTTTCAGATCTTTGTCAGTTCACTTGATTGGATTAGTTTCACTTTTCGTAGTGATCATGCTGCATTTGAAATTCTTTAATGGTCTATGGTGTCGTCCTTTCTTTGCGCCTATTTCGAATGCAGCTGATAATGATGTAGCTGCAGAAACTTTAGGTGATAAGTTATTTTTGATACAATTTCTTTAGCATATTTTATATAGATTTCTCTGTATCGTAGTATTACTGCTGTAAGGATTTTCTCAGAATAAATCAAATGGTCATAACAATCTAAAGCTTGCTTTTCCGCAGAAACTTCTTTTCCGGAAATGATCCTCAACTATTTTTTTGTGATAAGCCAAATGTCATGATGCTGATCAATCCAGGTTTAACTATCCATGCTTACTTTTTAACTAAATCCACTTAATTTTTCTTTCTCAAAATTCGAGAGTTACAATAAAGCTGTTTCAAACTCGGGCAAACTGTTGTTTCAAACATCCCAACACCCCATTTGTGTTTATTTTTAAATGAAGATTCTCGTATCAGCCGTGTCACTCTAAATGAAAGGAAATGCTATATCATCATTTCATCGAGTTTCTAGAATTTTAATCTAGCAATATTAAAATTCTCAATATTATTTTCAAATTACATTTTTGATCATTTCTTATAGTTTAAGTTGTTCAATATTTTCTTCTCCTTTTTGGTCCATCTGCACTTCTCATAATTTTGTGGAGTATCTTCGAGAAACTAGTTGGCTGAATTTTTATAGTTTAAATTTTCCAAATTTGTTGCGTGTCGAATTATCCAAGCTTTTTCTTATATATTACCGAGTTTATAGGGCAATTATCTTCAATCAAAAAGGTAGCTGTGGTATTTATGGAAGAGATTGCACATAAAAAAGTGTGCAAAACTCTTATAGTGCTATTTTTCTACTTCTTACTCTCTGTGTTCCTTAAGTGTAACCTTTGTTTCCTTCCTCGTTTCTATTTTCAAAGAGTTGGTCGTTTCTATTTTCAAAGAGTGCAGTAAATTTTGAAAATTTTTAAGAGCTTCAGTAAGTATTTGAAGTTCACTTTTCATGCGTGTAGATTATTCATTTAATTGCAGAACAGCGGAATTTTTATGCCAAAATTAAGCATATCGTAGAGTGCTTGATGGAAGCGTTATGGAACATTGCAGAAGCTCATGTGGCCAAGCTTGTCATGTTTATCTTAGTTATTGTTGCTGTCAACGATGTAAATTATTTTTATTTAGAAACCTATCGGGTTTATCACCAAGAAGTTTATCACTTAAATGACTGTAGCTTACAGATATAATTTTCATCTTGTTAATTCGGCTTTTGGTTTCTTTGCCATAGCTAATGGAAGAAGTTATTCCCACCACTAGACTCTTTTTGCCTAAGATTTTTAGTTTGCTAGTAGTAATTTGCTAGTGTCGGGCAGAAAGTGTTTTTATACTACTATATCGCAGTTTTTGATACTTGTATAGAGTAATGTTTTTAAATATTGAACCTCTACATTTCGTTTATGATTACACTTTTGCAGATATGTGCCCTCAATTTAACATTAATCATTTTAACCAGTATTGCTGTTTGTGTTCCGGCAATCTCATCGACTGTTTCTATGGTGTTATGTTTATTCATATCAGTATTTGTTGCGATTAGAATGGTTTATCAGGTTGATTTCTTGTTTTGCTCGAATATTTTTCGGATTTACAGAATACGTTGATATATTTATATAAGATGTGTTTTTCTTTCAAGAAATACTGAATTGGCTTAACTTACAGATGCATTTTGTGGTGGAAAAGCCATTACCAGTATATTCGAAAGAATTGATATGCAATTCATCTGAATATACTTTAAGTACAACGGCATACTGGCTTGGTTTTCGGAAAGTACCGGTTATTGGAAATTATGTTGGTGTGAGTATACATTCAAACTAATCCTAGTTCACTATCACGGCCTTCAAACATAAACAGATTTTACACAGTTTTCATCATTCTTTTGCAGGGTTTAATCGTAGCTTTATTAGCACTAGCATTGCAAGCGATTGTTATGTATCGCCAGCAACATAAATATTTGTTATCCAGAACAAGTGCTCCACCTCGCGGACTGGTGTTTCCGGAATCAAATCCCAAAAATTGGGATACTAATTTGATTGATATGATCAAGTTTTTCTTCAATTATGGATTTTATAAATTCGGTTTGGAGGTATTCGTTTTATTTTAACAGATTTTAATTCTATTGCTAACATGTAAAATTGCATCCTGTACATACCCATAT